CAAAGATTAGCCTGCCGAAATTTACAGATAGGTTAAGACTCAGAAGGACAGAAGATGCAAACAAAGCTCTGTAGAATGCTAACTTTCCAAAAATGGTATGCAGCACAAAGCCCAAGGACCAAAACCACAAATACGTGGTTATTAATGTACAGCAAGTTGTGGTAATTTAGTTTATCTCATCTCTGTTTAGTTCTGGATTCGTAGAGATTGCCGTTGTTTTTTTAAAGTGGCCTTTGTAAACATCACAGAGGATAGTTTCCCAAAACATCCTTTTGTTTTGATTTTGAATTAGAGTATGAATCACACATGGAGGAATTCTCAAATAAATAACACCCCTACTAAAAACTGAAGTAGAAAGGCCCAGTATGAAGTTCCTATTTAAAGGCTATACCATTTCAAATTGCAGGGTTTAATTGAACCAAGAGCAAAAATCCTCCCGATGCCAACATGACAAAACATACATTGCAATGTCATGCCACAACTTTCACTTTTTTATGTGTGCCATAGTGCTGCACATGAGTGTGCAAGGAGCAAAGTTTGCACTGAGATATCATCCGCCTGGAAGCGAATAGCCCTGTTGTGCTTCCTTTTGATGCCATATACTAGTATTCCTGCTTCTTCAGAGCCTTTCCACAGTGAAAGTAAAATATGCTTGCGATATGAAGAGTTCGAAGAGGAGAAAGTAGTAATGACTCATATATTGCTGACAAAATATATACTGTAATACTGATTCGGCATAGTTAGCAATCCCTTTTAGGCTGTAAAAAAAGGCAGAAAAGTGACACTTCTCTTCTGTAAGCTTTGCCCGACGGTTTTTGGATTTTGCAGTAGAGGTTGATTTGTTTATGACCAGGATCTGCATCAGGTGAATCAGGATAAACAATCAACACTTTTGAAGACAAGGAAAAATGGCAAATGAGACGCCTAATATACAAGCTTTACCACCCTTCAGCTGTCTTTGAATTTGCTGTGTGATAACAAAGATAACTTTAGAACTTAAGCAGAGCAGTACTGGACCAAATCAAAGGCCTGCAGAGTCTGATGTCCCTTATAGTCTTAAAAACAAATTAGAGTATACCAAAGGTCTGTAGAATCTATCAGAAATTTGCAATACACTCAATGCTCAATTTTTGTCCCTGTTAGTGGTGTCCTTGAAGGATCAGCAGAACTGTAATTGGCTAACTTCACCCAGATGAAATCAAAGAAGACCGAGCAAAATGCATTACCTATTTAGCTGAATCACTTCATTATACTTTATTATAATAAAAGTATTTGAATAAAGCACAGGGTTAATAGTCTCTAATCATAAATAATACATGATTTTTACAGACTGATTAATAATTTCATGAGATAAAAAAAACACTTTTATTGCATTCTGTTAAATGAGGTTTGCTTATCCACTGAACTGACACTCATAATTGCAGCTGTATCATTAAATATTACCTAATAAACAATATAATCCATGCCTTATATGGCGCAGCAAGAAAACACAAGCAGTCAGTGCACCTACAGATTTAGGAGGTTTTTCTTTCTACTTGCTGTCAATTTCTTTGGAGGAAGAGACATGGGAGCCAGCTGTAAACTGGTTTCCAAGATCTCGAAAATTTGAGGCTACTATGATTTCTTGGGGTGCAGTACACCCCAAGAATATCGGCAAAAGAATATCAGCAAGGATCCTTGCTCTTCATTTGGGGAATCGCCATTTTATTTCATTCTGCACTCATTTCCCTGTGTGACCACATTTATTCTTTGGTTATTGAATTGCCGTCTTTGGCTTATCTTGAATACAATGATGGGAGGCTGCACCACACAAGTTGGAAAAATGTAGCATACTTACTGTGAGAGCAGACAGGACAGCACTCGCCATCAATAAAAGTTGGACGGACACAATGCACAGGCGGGCATGTCATTTTATTGCACACCGTTTTAGAGTTCTACATGCAAAAAAACGGCCAGATTATAATGCAGAAATGGTCAACTAAAGACATCTCTTTAAAAAAATTAGAAACATGCAAATTTTTGAAACTGAATTGGGTAAGCTGGTTTTCTTTTTGATAAAAAAGATATACCACATGATATAAAATTGAATTTGCTATTTTCATGCAGTAGCACACATATCTCCAATGAGATATCGCTCAGAACTCATGGTCTTGGTCAAGAGGAGTTATGGATAGTGTTTCCATCCTGGTCCTTCTGTTATATTCCTCTCAGTCACAATCTTTGTTCTTTAGTCTACATCCAGAACATCCGTGGAGGTAAGAGTAGAGGTTAAAAAAAAGCCAAGTTGGCAAGATACATCCATCATGATGCAAACTTTTTGTTCATGTATGACTAATCAACAGATGTATAAAAGAGATGGGGCTTTCATTGCATGCACCATCTTGCTTTTTTGGCACCTTCTCATTCATGTTGGATAAGTTGGATGGGGAACAGGGAAAGAGATTCAGGATAGCAATACTCTAGAACAGGGGTCCTCAAGCCCGGGTCCATGGACTGGTACCAAGCCACGGCATGCCAGAACTGGACCACACAAACAAGCAAAGCCCCATCCACGGGATGCAGGCAGCACACAAAACCACGCCCCCTCCGGTCCACAGAAAAACCTCTCTACATGTAACTGGTCCCTGGTGCCCAAAAAGTTGGGACCTCGGCTCTAGAATCTGTCAGGATGCATATAGAAGGTTATAGGTTTATAGCTTTAATTTGGCAAGATTCTGTCCATTAGGTGCAAGCAAATAAAGGGCTAGAATTTGATTGGATCTCATTGTCTCATCTCTGGGGTTGGGCCTGACATATACATGTTCTTCTTCCTATCAGCTCCCAAAGTACCATTTTCCATAGTGGATGTTCTACAAGCGAAGACCCTGTTGCACACTAGGTCACTGAAGATGGTAAACAAAATCTCACAGCCTGCCCATTATAAGAAGTCTAAGAAGTCTAAGAAGTCAAAATGTTTCATTTCATCCTCACTTTGGAGCTTCTAAGCTTCTACTTCTACGTCCATTAGTATGATGGCATAATAAAACTAAAATCTGAAGCATTTCATCAATAATGGTAATTGGCTCAAGTATAAAGAGGCATTTGTTGATACCACATTCCATCACTTCTATATAATGAGGATGTTGCAGAAAGGAGGAAGAGCTGGGTTACTAAAAGGTGAAGAGTATAAGGAGAATTAGGAGATGGTCTTCACTGTGAATGTTTTCATCATAAATGATCTTCATATAAAGGAAAACCCTGCTCAGCTTATCATAGCAAAATTAAGATGCTATGTAATTCCAGTGGCCCAAGTCTGGGATCTATTGCAATTATTCCTCAAAGACTTTCACATGGCCTGGATTATGAACTGATCACCATTTTATAATTAAACATTGTATTTCCTGTGAAAAAATTCCTACTTTTTGTTTGTTTAATTCAATTTATATGATTGATCATCTCACCATAGTGAGTCTGGGTGGCTAACAAATTAAAAACACAACCAACAATGAAAATAAAATATACAACCAGCAGCCACAGTTTTTTAAAAAAACCAAGCAAACAATTATTTGCATAGCCACCTCATGGATAATAACTGACAACCCAATGTCTAAGCCCATGAACATAGCTATTGTTAGGGCCAACCTAATTTATGGGGGGGGTGTGATGTTCCACAGGGCAGGTGCAATAACAAGAAAGGCTGTCTATGGGCCCCATAATCTGCCCCTTCTGCTGGATCTAATAAGATGGGTAGGAATAATTGGAAGAGGTAGTCCCACAAATAAATTCCTGTTCGTGGTACCTTAGCATTTGATTAAGGTTTGAAATAACAATCTATCACTCCATGAGCTAAATATTAAATTTGGAACTGGCTACATTCTATGCAATGGGATTTAGAGCACAATTAGTATAGTTAGGATTACAAACTATCTTTACCCTATTAACACTTGTTGTTCAAGATCCTACATAGCACACTGGAATGGTTTGTCTTGTTATTTTTTTTTAAATACATCAATTAAATTCTTTATCATTCCTTCTACATTCTTTTGCCTGTGTATGGAAATAACAGTCCAGATCAAAATCTTATAAGCAACAGAAATGGAAGTTTATTAAGACTGTCCATTGGTGTTTTTTCATTCATCCTGCACATCAATGCAGACTTTAAAAACATATCATGACTGAGATAAGGAAACAGTGTATAGTTTGAAAGGAGTCTTAAAAGGCTCACCTGGCAGCTACATTTTGTACAGCTGTCCACAACCCAGTGTGAGTTATTTGCAAATTCACGGCCATCTTGCCAGCAAGCAGTCTGGTTCTTGAGTGTTTTGTTGGGACCAAGCAACTCTGATACAATTTTGTTATTCTCCTCTGACTGTACAATAAAAAGATGAACCGTTACATCATGAATACATCATGAACAAATAAATGTGAAATTTGACCTGCAATTAGTTTAGAAATGCAAAATACTTAGAAAGGACATTATTTGTACCCAGCTAATGCATCAGTCAAAAAGGAAGCAAACAATTCAATTGCCATCTTTTTGGGGGGAAGGGTGAGTACAAATATCAATTAATGTTGACAAGTCACACCTGCAGTAAGTTCTGTGGGAAAACTATTCCTCCAGTAGAACTTTATTCAGTACCGGATTCCACTCATCCAGCAGAGATTAGACCACTTCAGATCTATTTCAAGGGTGTGGAGAGTGTCAATGTGGTATGATACTTCAGGTCCTGGAAGAGAACTAGGGAGGTCCAAATGGCTTTCAGCCAGAGAAACTAACTGGATGACCCGAGTCATTTGTTCTCAATCCCACCTACTTCAAAGAATTACTATTAGAGGAACAAGATAAGAGAGAGCCTCATGCAAGACAGTTTCTGATATGGGAGGAAAAGAAGAAATAAGTCAACAAGCAGGCAAATAAAAATGTGTGGATTTGATTAACAGCACAGAGTTGGCTATAATGTTAACTATGATTCAAAAAAAGATTGAAGCATTTTGGAATGGGCATAGGTTTGCCAGCTGAAATATTTTCCTATCACCTGTTTCCAAAGTATATGCCAAATGAATAGAGAAATGGGCCAGCAGAAGAGCCAAAAAGGAATAGATAAGAGTCAAGGCAGAGAGGAACTTAACTGCCTCTCACTAAATTCCAACAGGACCAAGAAAAAACAAGAAAAAAAATTCTAAGTCATTTCAATATTCCAAATCCAATGAGATCATCTCTTCCAATCAACTTTCTACTCTAGCCTGGAGCCCCATTACAGACCCATACAAACCCACATCCAATTCAGCCACCCTAACGTTAGCTTGAAAGCCAATTTGGTGTCGTGGTTAAGGCATCAGGCTGGAAACTGGAAGTCTGTCAGTTGTAGTCCTGGCTAGGGCATGAAGCTGGCTAGGTGACTTTGAATCAGTCACTTTCTCTCAGCCCTAAGTATTAAGCAATGACAAACCACTTTTGAAAAATCTTGTCAAGAAAACTGCAGGAACTGGACCATGAAGCCTGCAAGAATGGGACACGATTGAAGACAAAAAAAAAGGTAACTCAGTTTAGTCTTGGTTTGGCTATTTAATTTACATGTCGCTAAACTCATAGAAAATTGTGAAGTAAGTTATTCTGTGATCTCAGTGAATTGAATTCAAGTATGACCAAGTCTGGAACCAGCCTACTGTGAAAAGCATGACACATTCATCATATATTATATTACATAGTCTATGGCTTAGAATCAGCAAAGAGGAACTTCTTAGGCATTATGTATTCTAGAATAGAATAGAGCTGGAAGGGACCTTGGAGGTCTTCTAGTCCAGCCCCCTGCTCAAACAGGAGAACCTAAACCATCTCAGACAGGTGATTGTCCAGTCTCTTCTTGAAAATTTCCAGTGATGGAGCACCCATGATTTCTGGGGGTAACCTGTTCTACTGGTTGATTGTCCTCACTGTCAGGAAGTTTCTCCTTAATTCCAGGTTGCTTCTCTCTTTGATCAGTTTCCAACCATTGTTTCTCATCCTTCCCTCTGGTGCTCTGGTGAACAACCTGACCCCCTCTTCCTTGTGGCAGCCCCTCAGATACTGGAATACTGCTATCATGTTTATCTAGTTTAAGGGTGGGAAAGAAACTGTGCTTTGGGATTCTAATTATGAATCCTAGTAGAATATTAAGCAAAAGGCTTAATATGTGATCTTTATCCTTATCAAGGTTTTGTCCCTTAAATAAATAAGTGTGCATATCAGTGGTGGGATTCAGCCGATTCGCACCAGTTCGGCAGAACAGGTAGGTAATTTTTTGTTGTCCAGGCCCAGAATGGACTTCCGGAAGCAGCATCCACACAGAGAACCAGTTGTTCACATATTTGAATCCCACCACTGGTGCATGTGTATGAGAGAGAGAGACAGACAAACCCTCATAATTACTGAAAGGTTTTTAGTCATGTGAACCCTGAAGGTAGATTAGAATTTCCATCACCCATTGCTGGAAACAATGGCCAATGTAATCCAACTATATTCTGGGAATGCAAGGCTGGAAACTACTTAGAACAAGAATGACTGGAGGTACCTACCACACTTTTCAATTTGTCAGACAAGCCATTAATAACAACTCGTAGTCCATGGAGTTCAGCAAACATAGACCCAAGCTCTTCACAAGAGCGATCACAGAATTCAGCTTTCTTCTCTGTGTTTTCTCCAACATACTCTGTCATGATTGAAGGACTGAGGTGAAGGATCTCTGTGTTCTCATTAATAGTGTTCACTTCAGCTGCAAAGAAAGAAAACAAAATGAGAATACCAAACTATTTTCCGCTGATTGTAACCTTTGATTAAAATTATACAGTACATTGATGGATTAGATGGACTTCAAAAGGATCTCTCCTGGAATAGGTTCAATTCAAATTATATCACGGAAGAAAAAAAGTTGAATACCAACTCTTTTCAATTATTCCTTTCCACAGCTTAGATCCCAAATCTACGGAAATATCCTCTCCTATCTCAGAAGGTAATGGAAAAGTTCTTTAGAAATGCCATAGAAAGCTGTTAAACTAGTGCAATTCATTTACAATCATAATATGCATCATATACAACATTGCCATTCTGAAGCCTTTTCAATATTCTGGATCCTGGCAGAATTTTACTTTAAAAATGGAGCGAAAAAGTAATGTAGTTAAAATAAATGTTTGTGTCTTAATCATTTTCCTTCAGAAATGACTGCATAGTAGGAATGCTAAGGCGCAAACATTAAAGATACCATAATCATCCTTTTTAAGGACTTTTAAAAGTCCCAACAACTTGCTTGAACAAACTTAGAATTTTGTTAATTATTGGAGACACTTCTTAGCTTCACTGAATAAAGTTGAGTAGCAGGCATGTGGCTTCAGGAAAATAATTCTGCATTGACCAATTATACTTTCTTTTGTAGGATGTCCACAGGGTGTGGACACAGCCATCATCTTGTCTTTGTTTATACCCTGCAGACACCCTTGGAAGAGAGATAGAGAGAATATGGTATCACCAATGAGATGAATATGTTATGGAAAGTTGGCCCCAATTTTGAACTTGGCATAATTACCATGGAAGTGCAATCATTTGGATTGGATTCCAAAATCTTTTGATGTTCCAGCCAGGAGTTAAGTTTGCTCCTTTCCATAGCCCAAAGTTGTATTCAATAATCAAATCCAAAGCACTGCACAACCCTAATAATTATTCTGCTGTTTCAGAAGAAGGACGGGGTTATATGGAAATCAGGACCTTCATTCACCTTTGACATTGCTTTTCTTCTGGGATAATGCTGTGAATGGCATACATGCACCACGTTATGTTGGTCTAGCTGAGAGAGTGGAAGGTAAATGGGATGGAGGAAAAGGGATGCCCCCTCTCTTCCTCCACTTTACTAGGCACTCTGAAAATCAAATGGATAGGGAGACGGGATGAAGAGCCTTCTGAAACCTATTTTGAGGGTTTGAAAGAGTATGCTCCACCGTGAGAAGAGAAATCTGTCCCCACATTTTGCCCTAAGTGATCTTTGCCTTCTTTGGCTTTTTTCAGGCACAAAAAGTAAGATTAAGGGTGGGGAGTATTAAGCATACTGAAAACCCCACTAACAAGAGCAGGGGGTAATCCTGACAAAACAGGTCTAGGATTGCGTTGTATGGATTTTCCGCTCATCTTTTATCGTATAAACCCTATTTTCCACTCCACAAAACTGAAGAAATGAAGTTTTCCTAAGTGTTACTATTTCAATGTATGTTTCACTCCCTTTGGATAGACAACAGCCTTTCTAAACCGAGTTGGCAGAAAGCTGCACATTTCTGTCAGAGCATGTCTAATGCTGGTACAATGCTTCTTGGCAGCATTTTTTTGCTAAAAGAACAAATGCTGTTTTTTTTAAAAAAAAAGATAAATTCAGAGGCACAATTCCTAAACTCCAGATTCTTGGCATACGTTTGGGAACTACAAGTGAAGCGGCTTGCTCTCAATATAACTAAGATGGATAGAGTTTTAGAGTTGGGAACAGCCAATTTGCATGCAGATTGTTGCAACAAAAGTATTCCTATGTTTAGTATGGCCCATACCAGGTTCTTAACATAACATAAGAACATAAGCAATGAACTGGCCCATTTAGTCCAGCTATCTGTTCTCACAGTGGTCAACCAATGGCATAAAGAAGCCCATTAGTCTCTCAGCAGATGGCCTTCAGAGGCAGCCACCTTGCCATCAGGGCTAATAGACATTGATCCCCATGTCTTCCTTGAATTGATCAAATAATCCACTGTGCAAGATGATCCTCTCTTCAAATATTTAGTTGAAATCTGTTTCCTTGCCATTGCATCTTCATCTAAAAATTGTTTCTGTATTCTCCATGATCACTTCTTTTGAAACAAATTTGGAAACCCATAGTTTGTCTTGTTGTGTAATTTTAATTTTCAGAATGGTCTGAAAAATTTAGAACTCGTGGAACATGTAGATTCCATTACATTTTAGCATTATATGCCAGTAAAGAGAAACTAAAACAGCATTCCCAGAATTCTTATTTCAGAATATTTTAATTATTTGTTTTTATTTCATAAATTTTTAAGCCATGTCCCATGTCCAAATATCTAATGGTATCTTCCTTAAGCAAAGGGCAAATTATAAGAACCATGGCAAAAAGAAAGGTCTTTTAGAAGTTGTCCTCTAGAAGTTGCTATTTAAAATGTTCAGAAACCTGCTGGTATTTCTTCAATTGCATTACTAGTGATTGTAGAGCAGGGGTCTTCAAACTTGGCAACAGACTGACATCACCATGTTATGCCTAGTTATAGTAGTGCAAATCAATAGGAATACCAGAATGGAAATATAATAATACCACAATGTCAAAGTGGCTAAATAGGAGAAAAGTGGATATTTGATCTGTGAATAATCCGAAATACAACTTTCATCAAAGAAAGACTGGCAGCGGAAAGTCTTACTGCTAATGATAATTGATTTAATTGTGGTGTCAACAGCTAACTAAATGCTTTTCCAAAGTGTATAATGAATTCTTTCCAGCACTGAGAAATTCGAATTACTTGGCTATTTTAAGACTTCAGACTAGAAACCCTAAAAATGCAACACTGCACAATGGAAAATTTATCATGAAGTGGAATATGTTTAAATGTCAATTTGATGGAATAAAATGACGCCTTCCTACCATGTAGACACAAAAGTGTAATAGGCTGCTCACATGCAACATAATTAATGTGAGATTATGACATCAACCTCAACTGGGTTTTGACCAAGCATATTAAGATTGCAATCATCATAATGGATCCAGAGGCAGTCCAAACAGTAACCCCCCCCCCAAAAAAAATCCTGTTGGCAATTGATATCCAGCAAAAAACAATATTAGGTGTTCCACCATCACCCCTGATCATTTGCATAAGATAATTCTAATTGGTCCATTTAATATGATTTTATATGTACTTAGATAAGGCTATTTCATCTTTCTTTGTCTTTGGCTCTCAATGCAAAAATATATCCCAAATGAATGATATCTTTGTGAGATGTCATATCTATTCAATTTTGCTTTAATGGTACTTAATAAAAAAATCTAAACTTTTAAAGATATCAGATGGACTCTAGATCACATGCCAACTTATTACATTTTGGGTGGATGTTCACTGATTTTATAGTACACTTTAATATTTAGGCAATTGACTTGTCAGTTCTATTTTACATGGGATAATAGCTTATGACTTTTCAGGTATTTTCGGCCCTGATTTCTTGATGCACTAGCTTTGGTGGATAGGAATTGGAATCCAACAACATTTAGAAAGGCAGAGATTACCCAATCCCACTTACTTCTTTGGAAAAATAAATTTTGGGAGATAGGATTGACTAAAATAAACCAATCAATGAAGTACTGAGTTGGAAACCAGGGTTTCTAAAACCTGCAGTTCATTATTCATGAGGTATATGGTATTATATTTGGGAAGTATAAATTTTAATTTTTTTGACTCTCCACTTTACTACTTACATAATTATAACACAAAAGAAAGGAAGCTGTTCTCCTTTTTCATAAAACTATTGAAAAGTTTTTGAAGTCCTTCCTTCCTTCCTTCCTTCCTTCCTTCCTTCCTTCCTTCCTTCCTTCCTTCCTTCCTTCCTTCCTTCCTTCTCTTTATAGGTATGAAATCTGACTGGGTGACTTTGGAGCAGTCAAATCTCAGCCTAACTAACCACACAGGTTGTTGTTGTGGGGAAAATGGAAGGAGGAAGGTGCAATAGGTATGTTCACTGCCTTGAGTTATTTATACAAATAATAAAGGTAAGATAACAAAATAAATGCAAAGGCCCATGTTTGGTAGGAGTTGTAGTGAGAAAACAGCAAACAGAACAGTTCATGGTTAATTTTATTATCAACTATACCAGTGATGGCAAACCTTTTAGAGACTGAGTGCCCAAAAACCGCCCCCATCCCTGTCCCTCTCCACCATGCCCGCTGGGCCACCCACCACCTCCACAGCCCGCCACAGATCACCCAGGCAGCCCAGCAGCGCCATGGTGGCCACACCCTCCACCCGTGCCCCACAGCATCATCTGCATGCGATGGGGTGCAAGGGCGGAGTCTTGTCCCCGCTGCCCAGCTACCATGTTCTTGGCTGCACTGCTTCACATGAGCTGTGCCCGGGGCTGACTCTCCTTTGGGGGGGGCTGCTGGTGAGGGGGCCATGGGAGGAGGCGGGGCTGGGACAACGGTGCATGTGTCCACAGAGAGGGCTCCGAGTGCTGCCTCTGGCACGCGTACCATAAGTTCACCACCACTGAACTATACTAAACATTTCATTCTATTAATTTACACTTCCATTCTTTTCTTCTCCCCTTTACCACCCGTTACACTCCCTTTTGGATTCAGCCTAACAGAGAAGGAAAATGTTGTGCATAAATCCAGAATTAACAATGCCACATCTTGTTCTTACCTGATTGACTTCTCTGGCACCCTTTATTGCGCAAAATATCCTCTACGGTAGTTCCAAAAACCAGAAAAAGATTTTGTAGGAGACCCTGAAAACAGAAAGACATTTTTCTCATATATGTTAGGGATATGTTGTTGACTGTTTTTTTAACTGAATTTAACAATGAATAGATTAACAAATGCAACTTTTATTATGATAAAAATGTTTCTCAAATACATTGGTTCATGGATAAAGAGGCGTTTCTATGGCACGGAGTTAATATTCCACCAGCTGTCTTTATAATGCATTTTCAAAAGTTCTAATGTTCAATGTGATGATACATAAACACAATAATAAAGGAGAAATAAAGAATCAGAAGACCATAATTTAAAGATTTTCTTAACATGAACTTCATCAGATGATCTTAGTCAAGTGATTATTTCTTAGTGTAAGCAATATCACTGGATCACAATAAAATCATGATAAGATGATGGAATCCCATAGAGGAAAGATGTTAAAAACTACAATGACTCTATACTATAGAGCAATATGACAACATTCATAATATAGTAGTTGGCACATATTGGCTTCTAATACCCAAATCCTGGGATGATGCTGAATATTTTCTAATAACAATTAGAAATAAATAATTTACCAGCCTTATGAAATTATAGTTTCCAGCATTCCTTGGAAAGAGATTAGTTAAAAGTAATCTTTAGTTGTGTTTTCTTCTAGATGGATTTGTAATCTGAGTTGTAAAATAGTAATATGTGTTTACCCAATTACATTCTATTCCTGGTGAATAGTTGAGAACTAAGAAGGTTAACTACTTTTCTATCCTAATCAGTTAGTAGACCTAAGAAAAGGCAGAAAAATTAAAAATGGAAAACTCACTCCAATCTTCAGCCTTCATTAGTGCAATAAGGTATCTACAGCCCAACCAGTGGTCTGAGTAATAAAAGTTTAAATCCGAGGACATCTGGAAGGCTACAGATTTATCACTCATGTTCTAGAGAGTAAGAAAGCAATTTCTAATTTTCCTTTTTCACCCTTCAGATGCAGACTGAAGAAAAAAGATACACATGTCTCCACCTCAGTGTGACTAACATGGAATGAATGTGTAATTCAACATCTTTCAAACAGTTTGGATAGATGTATTGTAGTTGTGAAAAAAATACAGCTGTTAGCATCTGTATCCATCAATTGACGCTAATCTACCAATTAGCACACCCCAGTCTAGAATTCCCACAGTCTAGAAATGCTATGAATAAGATTACAATCCTTTATGTAAACTTTTTTGAGTTCTATTCAACTCATTTGGACTTGCTTCTAAAAAATGTGACCCACTGGACTGTTAATAGCCATGTGTATGAGATGGATGACCTATAAATTTACTAAATAATCAAGTCTACTTTTCCCCAACCTGTAGAGTACAACTGACTGTTTCTTATTTAAAATCAAACTAGTATGCTCAATTATTTACAAATAAATCCTGAGCTAAAGAAATACCATCGATTGAAAGACAGAATAAGATTTCAATTTTTCATAAGATTGAAACCCCTCAATCTGAAGCAGCCTCTGCCTCCACAAAAATGCCCATTAAGTCCTTTAACTGTTCTTTTTGGCACAGACAACAAAACCAGTTTTATCTTTTTTTTTTTACAACAGTGTCTTGAATGTGGCTATGTACTGTTAAATCCTTGTTATGTATTATTTAATTTCTTTGTTTATATTGCCCCAAGTTCTTGATAAGCAAAGGTAATAAGTCAGAAATAAATAAATTACAGATGGATATACTGGACTCATATACTTCGGTTCTGCAAAAGAGAAACCCTAGTTGAGCAGCCCTTATTTTATTTACTTATTGATTAAATTTATATGCTGCCCATTGTCCTGATAAGATGACTCTGTTTTAAGTGCTTCCTTAAGATGATACCATAATTCAAAGAAACAAAGCAATCCTTGCAAAATATTGTTTCAATAGCTCCTACTTAAGTATCCAAATTCCAAAGTTGCCTTTTTTCCCTTCTTGATGTCATACAACATGCGGTCA